CAGCCAGTGGTCGCATCCAATTTTTCAGTTTCAAAGTACTTAGCTATCTGCTGCCATCTACTGATTTGAAAAAGTATTACATGGTTACTCACAGTTCAAAACAAGTCACCGCTCGTCAACAGCGAATGCAGTTATTTTTAGACAAAGTAGACGAATTTCTCACGGCACACCAGACAATATCATACGGCACACTAGTGTGCCGCGGCACAGTGGTTGAAAAACACTGAGTTACACAATTACAGTGAAGCACAGACATTCAAAAGGTCTTGTTTACATCTTATCCTCCAGAAATCTGCTTCGACAAAACTAAATGGACAGATTGTGGTCACATGAAATTCAATAATAGTATAATGTACAGTGACCGTGAGCGGAGATTTGGTCGGATTCCAATAACAACAAAACATGTGCAACTGTTTTATGGTCTCAAGGTTTTCAGGTTACTCTTACTATGTATTATGGCCTTTTTCAAAAACAATGTTTAAATCTATTATCAAAAGGAAATATATGTCAGTATGAAACCCATGAGAAGGTTTAATTGGATACACTGCAAAAAGTGATGAGAAATAAGTCAAAAATTGCTCAAATTTGGCAACATTTATCTTAGTTTGAACACATTCTGACTGCCTTAAAACAAGATTTGCCAATAGGACAAGCTGAAAGGATCTAGTCTTAAAAAAATACAATAAATGTCTCCCTTGGGATGAGAGAATAAAGCACCAGTTTTTGATTTACGACTATACGGCTTTGTCCCATTGGCAACTCTTGTTTTAAGACAGTCAGAATGTACTCAAAGCAAGATCAGATTCAGATTCATTAAGATAAAAACCACTTGATTTAAGCAATTATTGTATTTGCATATTTCAACCTTTTTTGCAGTGCACTTGATTACTACTAAATCCACTGAGGTGCTGTGTCTTTTAACAAAACAAACACATAATTAAAATCATAACCTTGACTCATACAACTTTTTTTATCGCCCTGTCGCCTCATCCTGAAGAAGAGACAGTAATTTGAAAGATGGAAAGACATTGGTTAAAGGTTTACATTCAACATGGATATGACAAACCTTCACATCATAACAACATCTGGAGGAATGGCTCTAAAGGCAGAGAGAGTTGGAAAAGCACTTTGAAATGTGGGAAATATAGGAGTTGTTGTTTATTGTAGAGCTGGAAGGAGGCAAACACACGTCTCAGTTAACTGTATGTCTTCCATTCGACTGTTGCTATGGATACAGCTGTTTGTCTATGGTTTGTACAAAGGAACTGAATTGTTCTTAATGTTACGTTGGCTTCAAGAGTTTTCTTTCACCAGCTCTGCCAATCGTGGGATTTGTAAGGGAGGTTTTTATGAGTTTGTCAAAAATTCTACAAAAATAATAAAAGTTTGTGAGTATCAATGATGTTCCCTCATGCTGCTGTCCCATCTTTTCTTCAGATGTTTGGTTTTGATTAAATATGTTCAAATAAAGAATATGAAAGAAAGTTGGATCATTTTGTTATTTCTTCATAAGTTGAAAGTGTGTGTTTGTTTGTGTCAGTCGGGGCCGTGTTGGGAAAAAAAATCAGAATAATAATGTTGTGTGACTATTCTAGTGCAATTCCAATTTTCTTTTGGTTTTCAGAATTCAGGTTTTATCCTCGAAATTATTAAGCATTTTGGGTTTCAAACGACAGTATGGTTTTCCTTTGCTATAATAATAAACAAATGAAAATAAAAAAAAAAACTGTACAATTTATATATAAAGCTATTTGTATTGTTGGTCATTGTTAAAAAGACATCTCATATTCAGAAGACAGTCCACCTGCTGTATCAGAGTGTCACTATTGCACATAATCAGTTAATTGTATATATTTTTAGGTTAATAATGAATACTTTAGCTGTGTTGAATGTCAAACTACTTATTTGTTTACTACATATAATAAAATCCATCTAATCTTGCTCTAAAAATGTGGCACTAGATTTTGTATTGTTGGTCTTTTTAATTTAGATTTAAAAAGCACATTGAGGTATGATTTGTTCAGAGCATTTAGATTTTTATTCTTGTTAGAAAACCCCATCATTTTAGTATTTTTCATGTGTAATGTAATATTTATGCATGAGATATGTTGTAGTTGTAGTAGCGCCAACACGCCACCAGAGGTCACTGTGCATCGTTTAAAACCACAGGTGCACGCCGCGCCGTTCACCACAAGAGGGAGCTCGATCTCTCACTGATTCAATGAGTAAATAACAGTAAAAAAAAGTAAAGTAATTGAATAATGAATGAAAATGAAGTTGACAACTTTCACTTTATTCTGAATTTTACACAAATAACAAAATTTTGACCCAAGAATTGTCCTTGAAATATGTCTTGACTTTGATAATACCCAGCACTGATTAAAAACAAAACAAAACAAAAGCAGTCATGGTCCGCATTGTGCCTCTATAAATGTTGTGCTTTTGATAAAACATATTTGCGTCTGGAATTGTAAAAAGAAAAAAAAAACACACACATTTATGTAGACACAGTGCAGGGGCTTGCGTCAGACAGACACTCATTCATTCTCTTTACACAATAATTTACTTTTGGTTTTGCAAACGTTACACAGATAGTGGTGCTCCATTCGTTTCAAAAAAATAGCACGTATATACAAAGACAAAGAAGACAATAACAATATGCCAGTGTAAACAAGCTTCAGTATCACCATTATTGCACATACATTCATAAATACACCTCAGCCTTGTGCCCTTTGTGCGCTGCCTGTTTCTGTTTGTGGTGTAGCGCCGTTTTTCGGGGGAAATACGGTTAAAGTAAATCAGGAAAGGGCAAAATTCATTACAGCGGAACACGAGAGCCACTCTAGACCACACTGAACCAAGATACAGACGCAACATTTCAGATCCATGAAAACAGACTGTGTTGGACGGTGAGAGGCGAGCGCTGAGAACTGTGTGAGTGATTACACAGTCTTCCTGAAAATGTGAGACAGGCTTCAACTAAACAGTTCTGTTTGTCTTTGCTTATATAAGGATTGTTTCTTCGCTCATTATGACTGATTATTTATAATGCCTTGTGTGATTGTGTCTTTCTTGTTTTGTTCAGCTCTTTGATTTCCCTTGGATATGAATTGCGCTATACAAATAAACTTGCCTTTCCATGCATTATTATGAATCGGCTGACTGGAATAATTACTGCATTGTTTAATCATTCTATATTGATTTAACAAGAATGTTTATGGAAAATTCAATATGACCTACTTTTTTGGGAAAAACAAGAAAATGTGAATATATTTCTATGAAAAGCACGATATAAATAAGTATTAGTAATTAAATTAAGATTATTGACTAATACAGACATACTATAAAACTAAAATATTGTGAAAAGTAAAACAAAAACAGTTTTCTGAAATAACAAAAAAGCACATTCACACTATTCTAATCTTTTGATGTGTTCAACATTAACATTTTCAAAAGATTAGGATCTTGTGAATAAACAAAACTGTTTTTGCACTCATTACATTTATCGTCATGTTGTGTGTTCTATAAAGGATTGTGTGACTGTTTACAGGAAACAAATGGACTCTGTGAAATAATTCCTGCACAGTTGCTTTAATTGAATAAAGTGAGGCCTGCCGCCCTGGAAGCATTCACAAAATTATCAACTCTCTGAATCTCCTTTTCCCCCTGAATAGATTGCATTAACATATACAATTCTATTTCAGTTGGAGCCAGTACAAATCTATGGGAAAAAACAAATGTTGGAAATGTCCAAATGTTTTCCAAGATCATTTTTTGATAGCAATAAGATTCACAAACTTGCCATTTTATCCTTATATCTGAGTCTATATAAATCTTTTCTACTGTCCAACATCCCGGATCTGTTTTTGAACATTGCCCGACAAATTTATGAGAAAAATACTCAGACCGTAGTTGATTTCTGCTGATTAAGTAGATGTGGAACTTTGTGGGAATATTTGTTTCATGTGGATTGGACCAGAGAAAACAGCTCTAAACTTGTAATCTGTACAATGTTGTGGTACGACCAAGCTAAGACAGTTGTCATGGTTACTGTTAGGGGTGGGAACCTAAGGGTACCTCACGATACGATACGATACACGATACAAAGCTCACAATAGCGATAATATCACGATAACGATATTACGATAACGATTTTATCACAATATGACGATTATTGATATATTGCTCAGAAATATACAATATGCCAATTTATGGCATAAATAAAAGAAAAAATACTCTTTATTTCATGATAAATAGAATGGAGATGCGTAATGTAGCTGTAATGTGTTTTTTTTTTTTTTCAAAATCGATATCGATACTTGACAAATGCATATTGATAATCGAATCGCGGGAGAAAGTATCGCAATATATCGAAAAATTGATATATTGTCACACCCCTAGTTACTGTAGGGGGATAAAGCAGCAGCCATTCAACACAATGTTACAGAATTCTATAACTGAATTCAAACTATTGGAAACTGTCATAGATTGTCCTGTTGTGCTGTATTTTTCTCACCTGTGTTTTTGTGTGTTTAGTTTGTGTGCTCCCTGCCTCATGTGCCGGATTGTCTTGTTTCCTCTCGTTCTTGCATCTAGTTTGGTGATTTTTGCCTTTTTCTATTAAAACACCTAAACCGCCTTTTGACTTCGGATCTGTTTTGGAGCCACTTTTGCACGAGCCTGACAGAAAACCACAATTGAGCAGATGTTGCGTTCATATTTTTGTCCAGTGCCTTCCCCGAGCCTCCGCACTCATACAGTCCATGTGCCTCGATATAAAGTTTCACTGTGTCTCCCTCTCGCACAAACCATTCCTGCAGTATAAGAACCCGGCTCGTGGTTCGCCGTCACGACAGCGCATCCTCCGTTTGGCTGCTTTCGTCGACTCTGTGTCTCGGAGGCGGCGACGGTCTCCTGGTTTGGATGAAGACGTCGCGTAGAGCCAGAAGGTGCATGTTCTCTCCCCAGATTCTCATCAGTTCCATCGGGAAGTTATGTCCTTATGCATTGCTGGTGCGGTCCGAGGTGAGCTGCTCCTGGTCCGAGATGTTGTCGTCCGCCGGGGGCCGAGCTCGATCGAAGAAACCGCACTGCCAGAGCAACAACAACAAGTTAGCGACGTTTTATTTATTAATTAATTTGTTTATTTGATAGGACAAAGCACATTCATGAACACCAGTTAATATTTTTTAATTTTCTTTATGCCGGATTATAGTTACAAAACTAGTAGTCTCTAGAAAGACAAAAATATAAATTATAACATACAAGACAAGCAGCACTCTAGAATGTTAAGAGTCTGGCAGTCACATGACTGTTGTTTTCAGCCATAGTGACTTTTAAAGCTGATCAGTGTAGGGCTCTCACGTATGTGCAGCAGAAAACTGTTTCAAATATTAGTGTTAGTTTTGTAAAATTATAATAATCAGAATAATAAAACCACCACCAACCATTCACGCACAAACCAGATTCATTTTAGGCAATGAGTGTGGCTATAAAGCTTGACATGTTATAGCCACAGCCGCCCCACTGTAGAACCTGGTGTTCCCATAGGTCTCCCATCACTGTACTAACCAGGCCCTTCCATGCTTAGCTTCTGAGGTCTGTCAGATCTGGCTTTCACATGCAGGTAGAGCCACAACATTTCTCATTTGTATTTTCTGGTCTTTTTGTAAATCTTTTTTTTGTCTTATTCTTGCTTCCTTCCTCTCTCCAATGAGACTGATTCTGATCCCGGGTGTCCAGAGGTTCATTCCCACTAAAAGAAAGCGTCTTACCTTCCACATGGCTAACGTCAACATGGCCAGCACCAACAGCCCCAGCAGGATGGCCAGGATGATGACCCAGAGCGGAACAGCGAAGGACACGTCAGGAGTGCCCCACAACACATGAGTGCCCATCTACCAGGAGCAGAAGACAAGAGCTGTGTTAGAGTGTGTGTGTGTGTGTGTGTGCGTGTGTGCGTGTGTGTGCGTGTGCGTGGACCAGAGGACACTCCTTAATTACATTTGTCTTGCCTGTTTAGTAGATTATTGTACTTTAAGCCCCGTTCAACTCAATTCAATTCATTCTTGTACAGCCCTAAATCACAACATTGTTTTTTTCACATTAAATTTAAAGAATATGAAAACATGTGTCGATGAACTGGCTTGATTTTCCACAAACGTGATTCTTGTCCTTGGTCTGTTTTGGCTTTGATCTCCCACAATACATGGATTTCACACAGTGGTAAAAAGCGACTCCCATATCACAAACTCACATATAAGCGCTCTGAGCATAATGTAAACAAGATTTGTCAATTAAAACATTCTCAGTAGGAATGAGAAAAAATGTATCTAATTCAGCCAAAATCTATTTCCATATATCATTAAGGAGATGATCCACCGCCAGAAAGTTACACTGTCACTGTTGCTAAGATTAGGGCGTCCTATTGTGTAATAACTCAGACCCCAACCAGTTGCATAATCAAATACATCTATTTTACTCAAAAATACCGTAACTACTTCTCAAACCACTATGAAATGTACTGAAATGAATGTAACTCTCAGAATCCTTGCCTTCACTAGTTTCCTCATGAATGTATTCTTGTCACATTTTAGGATCAGCTTTTTCAGACAGAAAAGTGAAAAAGAGAGGACACTCCCTGAGCCAATCAGCTCTCAGCCCAAATAGTTCTGCAGTTCATTCAGAGCGATCATGGGCCTCTTGGCTGCATCTCTGATCAGTCTTCTCCTTGTTTGAGATGAAAGTTTGGAGGGACGGCCGGGTCTTGGTAGATTTTCAGTGGTCTGATACTCCTTCCATTTCAATATAATTGCTTGCACAGTGCTCCTTGAGATGTTTAAAGCTTGGGAAATCTTTTTGTATCCAAATCCGGCTTTAAACTTCTCCACAACAGTATCTCGGACCTGCCTGGTGTGTTTCTTTGTCTTCATGGTTCTCTCTGCACTTTAAACAGAACCCTGAGACTATCAAAGAGCAGGTGCATTTATACGGAGACTTGATTACACACAGGTGCATTCTATTTATCATCATCAGTCATTTAGGACAACATTGGATCATTCAAAGATCCTCACTGAACTTCTGGAGTGAGTTTGCTGCACTGAAAGTAAAGGGGCCGAATAATATTGCACGCCCCCAGCTTTTTATTTGTTAAAAAAGTTTAAATTATCCAATAAATTTCGTTCCACTTCACGATTGTGTCCCACTTGTTGTTGATTCATGACAAAAAATTAAAATTTTATATCTTTATGTTTGAAGACTGAAATGTGGCAAAATGTTGAAAGGTTCAAGGGGGCCAAATACTTTCGCAAGGCACTGTATCTTGTGCCAAGTCAAACAGACAAATATAACAATTGCTTTAAGAAACATTTGTATCCAACCCACAAACAGCCAAAGGAGAAACCCATTGTTTAAATCTACAGAGTACATCCAAGACAAACATTTCTTTTGTGTTGAATTTGAACTTCTGGTACAAACATGTAGCTCCGCCCCTTCTGTCCCTTATATCACTGTGCCACACACTAAGCAGTTTTCTGTCTTTTAAAACAAAAGTACTTTTCTAAAAAAATAGTCTTGGCCATTCCTCAAGTGGAAGTACATTCTGTGCAATCACATTTCTGTGTTTGCAGCTGGTAATTATCATACAAGTAAAAAAAGAAAAAGAAAGAGAAAAACTCCCCCTAGTGGTAGCATAGGGATAAAGCAGGCCGATTGAACGTTTTACCTGTCAAACTTGTTTCACAATGTACTTTCTACTGAAGATATCATTTCACGTTCTAAAATATGAAAGGAAATAGCCTCAAAGTATAGCACATTTCACAGACCATGGTCATACAAAACGCTTCTAATGGCCAAAATAAGCATAATATTTCTTCTTTAAATGTCGAAACTCAAGTCAAGTGATCATCTTGATTGATTGATTTTAGCGGTGCAGATTGTGTCCGGTGCTGGGGTCTTACCGAGGTGCTGTGTTGAGGCAGGATGGTAGGCTGGACGCGGTACGGCATCGCGGTGACCAAGAAGGACACGGTGGAGTTGAGGACGTACGGGTCGTTGTGCCGCTGGAAACACAACAACCGCCGCTTAGACGCTCCATCCAGAACACATGGTATTTACTGATGGTAATCGAGTGCATTCAGGGACCATGTGTCATGGTTTAGGGTTATTTCTTGTTTAATTTAGTAATTTGTTAACCCCTGTGTCTTTTCAGTTCTACTTCCTGTTTCCTGATGTCCTGCCCCGCCCTCATGTGTATCACCTGTGTCTCCTTAGTCTTGTATTAAAGCCCTTTGTGTTCCTTCACTTCCTGTTCTCTCATTAAATGGTACAGAGGGTCATTGAGCGCTGTACTTTGCCCAGGGGCCGCAGTTTAGACAGTTTTTTCATAAACAAAAATAGAAAATATGCATATTTGCTTATCACCATTTTTCACACACTGACTCTGACCTGTAGAAAGGTGTCTGCCCACATCCTGGAGCGGACTTTGACCACAGCGCTCTGTCCGCGGTCCAGCCTCCCCACAACACACTGGATCCTCAGGCACGAGATGTTTGTGCAGTTCTGAAGTGAATACAGGATTAGACACATTCTCAAACTATGCTCTGGATGTGCACATACGCACACATACGTGCACATATACGCACACATGCACACACATACGCACACATGCACACACATACGCGCACATACGCACACATACGTGCACATATACGCACACATGCACACACATACGCGCACATGCGCGCACATACGCACACACATACGCACACATACGTGCACATATACGCACACATGCACACACATACGCGCACATGCGCACACATATGCACACATGCACACACATACGCGCACATGCGCACACATACGCACACATACACGCACATACTGTACGCGCACACAGGCGTGCACATACGCACACAGGCGCAGACTGCAGTTTTTTCTAAATAAAAAAGTTGAAATGGCTCTACGGCTATGCGTTGTGTTTTTGTGAATCAGAAAGCGGACACACAAAGGTACATGATTGCTTACAATCCAACACACTTTGTTATTTTCTTGTGGAGATTTTGACTGGTGAAATGTATTTGTGGAAACCAAAGCTCCGCCCACTTCCCATGTCCACGACTCACCAGGGTTTTGCCGCTGTAGCTGTGAGCGCTGGAGGCAGCGCGTTTGTTGCGACGGTGAGAGACGCTGGTGTTCCGCAGAAAGCCCAGGAGTTCAGGCGTGTCCTGAGCCGAAGAGATCTACAAACAATAAAAACAAGTCAATACAAGATCTACTAAGTGTTCAGTCTCACCTTTGTTCAAACGTGTTTGTTTTCATAAATACACGACATTTGTCGCAACAGAAAGAGTCCTGTTTAAGTGACATGTTAAATAAATCAGACCACAATATGCTGACTTTATATTATTAGACAACAACCATCTTTTACATACTGAGAGCTGATTGGATGAGAGCGAGCCGGGATCCATTATTTAATTGAAAAAGCTGATCTAAAGATGTGACCGAGGCCAAAAACACATGAGTGTGAAAACTTGTGATAAAACCAAACTGTTTACAGAGAAAGGAACTAGTTACAGTACATGGATTTTCATAGTTAACCCTTTGCCAATGTAACAGAATTGTTTCATGAGCTCCTGAATCAAGGACACTTTCTATACAGCAACCTGGCTTCTCAATTTTTTTTATTATCGTATTTATTTATGTTGTTGATGTTAATAGTCCTCTATGTATTATGCAATTTCAGGGCCTTTCGTTATTTTATGTGGGAATTTGATGTGATCCAAAACCATCTTGTTTCCATCAGTCACAAAGTCAGATGTGACCCACGTAAGCGCGGGTCTGGAGAGCCCGAGTGCCCGGACGGGACTTCACCAGCGGGGTATACTCTTGACAGCTGGAACAAGTGGCAGCCCCTCTGTCTGTCGACCCTGTCCATTGAAGATTCGGAAGACGTATATATCTTTGGCTTTTTGGTGGTGGGGATCCTCCTGTTTGGGCTTGGAGCGGTTCTATTCTACCATAAATTCGGAGGCATGGCAGTTCGCAAGATTCACGACCTGCTGGCCAACAAAATTGATGGGATGTACAAGGAGCTTAACCGAGTCGTGGTTGAGAGCGCTGTGGCTGGACAAAGAAGAGTGGTGTTAGTGGAACAGTTGATCAGAGATCTCGCAGCTCGTTCACTTGATGGGCAAAACTCTGGAATTGAGATTGAATGACATTGTTTGTCACGTTTGAACTCTCTGACCCGGCTTGGATTGGCCCCTGTGTACGGGGTCTGAGGGCGCCGCAATTCGGTTTAATTGGATTTAATAGAATATCTGCCTGTTTTTGACTGCTAAAATGCATACTATATTGTCCCTCGTTACAGGAAGATGTGTTTTTCTCCTTGCTGTGTCTTCCCTCCACTCTTATCTCACATTCCTCGGGCCAAGGCCATCATAATAAATCTGGACTCTACAACAATTTCACACTCTTTCAGTCAGTTCCAGCTTGGATCCCGCTCCCCCCGCCTCCCTCTGATCTCTCCCTCCCCTCCCCTCCTCACTGTGTTTCCGGCTCACCCCCTCCCTGACCCCGCTCCCCTCTGACAGCCACATTGGGCCGGCTGCAGAAGGTGCTCATCCCGAAAAAAAATCCGTGGTTTATACAAAGCACAATGTTTTCTATCCAACTGTCTGTTGTAACCTGTATGTTATTGCTCTCTGCTGTTTATTCTACTGTTTGTCGCATGGCGCCGGAAAAGATGGCGCCGTGGCAAGAGCTCTGGTGTGTGTCGTCTCTGTCTGGCGCACACCGGGGTAGTCTTGCACAGTTTTTCCAATGTGGTTTTACTGCAAATGGCAAATAAATGAATCTGAATCTGAATCTGAAGTCTTCGGCACATCATTACTAATCAGGCTGGGTTACTCCTGCAGCAGCCAATCAGCTCAGAGAGGCACATAGTGACTCACATGACTCCATAGTTCATATGTTTCCTACTCTTGAAGACAATGAGCAGTTGACTCCTTTTGTTAGTACACTTAAAGTTGAGCTATTACAATACACTTTGTGGAGGAAAAAGAGACATTATGAAATTGTAAAAATACAAAAACGCATGTATTTCATAACGACAATAACAAAACATTTACATTGAAAAGAAGATTGAAAATGTAAGAATCTGCTCAACCCACTGCTCACTGTCATTATACATTCAACATAATTATTATATTGTCGTTTCTTCCCAATGTTTTCTTCCTAAACGGCTCCAGTGGAAACGGCGCTCAGAGTCAGAACAATCAATGTGTGTAATGGATAAACCAGGAGTGAAGTAAATATGATCCACTCTGAGGTTCTGACCACAGTGGAAGAGAACCTTCAGTGGTCAGAAGTCTTTATGATTGTTCACATCCACTGAGCAGGAGTCTGTATTATTATTGTAGCCACTCTTATACTTTTAACTATATGTTTATTAAATGTAATTACATTTGAAAATTATAAATACAGAATAAAAACATGTAAAACACAACAATAAGTCAGTACAGTAACACAATAACTGTCAAGGCACAGTAAAAAGTGCTGGAACTAATTTATTTGTTCAATTTAGAAATATGTTTTTGAGAAAGTTGCTATTCGCCTCTGGAGTCACAAGGTTCCTCTGGAGTCACAGGGTTCCTTTTGAGTCACAAGGTTCCTCAGACAATTCAGTGCTTTGGGAGTGTCTTTTATATGTGGTATTTATATTCATTCTATTAAGATTTGTTATACTTGCCAATGTAACCATTTTTGTCGGTTTTGTGTTTGTGACTTCCTTTTACTCACATTACTTACATTTTGATATGATCCCTTTTTATCATATAGATAAAGACAAAGATTGAGATTTTGAATAGATAACCTGATCTTAAATAAATTAAATTATAAAAAACTAGATAATGGGAAAAAAGCCTTTTGTCTATATTGAGATACTGTACATATCTTTTCATTCAGCTCTGAAAGAATCCCAGTCCTAATTATTAACTGTGATAATACCACATTTATACAGATGATGGTAAAACAACATTCTGGAGCTTGTACCTGAAGACTCTTCTGGTCAAAATTCTGTTAGAACCAAAGAACGATTATAGCCTTTAGAAACTCGATAAAGCCTGAGGGAGTATAACCGCTAAACCACAGAACTGGACAGAAGCGTCACATCACATAACTATTGCAGAGAACGTATGCAGCCTGTTCAAACCAGTGTCGCACCTGGAGGCCGAGGGGGTTGAGGCTGGTGTTGGTCCTGCAGATAATGGGTCCATCAGTTTGGATCTCCATGGCGTAGAGGAGGTTCTCCTCACGGAAACGGGCCGGCCAGCCGACCTGCAGCTCGGCCTCCCGGATACTGCTGGGACCCCAGTTATGCAGCTGAGGAACAACACATCCAAATAACAAGGATATTAAAGGGATTGTCTGCAAGTTTGAAACAGCTTGAGATAGACAACTTCTCAGTTTTTCTACTGCTATTCTACACTTAAAGGAGCAGTATGTAAAAATGTGGCCAAAAGTGGTACTGCACTCTCCCTGACTCAGGTTGCCAGATATGCAGACGAATCCAGCCGGGGCCATAATATCTGAATACAGATATCTATTTCCAACAGCTTTTTCACAAAGATAGAAATCATCGTTTTATTCCTTGTTTTGTCATTAATGACTTGAGAATCATAACCTTTTTAAGTTCTGCTGCCACATGTTACTTAAACAGTAAGATTCGCTCGACATGGGGAGTTCTGGCAACCCGGATCACAGACTTTCGGATTGGTAAAACAAATTTCATCAGAATGAAAAGAATAACAAGATTGAGGGGCTGTAAAACTAATTTTGAAATCCAAATATCTCGGCTGAACTACTGTTATCAGTTATAGAAATATTTGAAAAGAGCACGTTTTAATTATGCTGTTTGACACATGAGGGCCATTTAATGATGACTTGACTTAAACATCTTGCATATTGCTACTTTAAGACATTGCAAAAACACGATTTCCAAAAGAACACTTTCTCACCCACAGTGTTATTCAAAACAATTAGTCAAATAGACAGGAAGGATAAGGGTTGTATTTATTTAAAGGTTCACTGTGTAATTTGAATACATCTATGCCTTAAGCTTCCAAAAGACACTGTCAAGTCTGAAGTCCTCTGAGTTGTAAAGTCTACCACAAAAACCTACACTGGGAGAGAAAAACCCTCATAATTGTGTAAGGATTCTACATAGACAGACAATGCTAATCCACTAGCTCAATGAAGCTCAATAAGGAAGTGCTCAAGGACAAGGTTTTGCACCAACTCGCTCTGGCTCCTATTGACTTACATTGAAAAGTAAGCTTGGTAACTGTTTGTGTCACACTCACCATTTTGTGCTTAACAATCTGTGCTCTGTGTTTTTATTTACATATTTTCTCATTGTTCAAAATTATTCAAAAACAATTACATGCATTCTGAATACATTCTCCGTCATCTTGTGTTGCTCCACACAATAGCGGTAAATGGCAGACCTGTCAGTTATGGTTTGTCACTGGTCTTCATTAGCTCTGTCTCTTGTGACTCGGGCTACAATTGGGTTATCATAACTGTGGCATGAAGACACTTCCACCTGCGCCGTCAACCATCAATTCAATAAAGCCTCTTTGCGGGATCTCTCAGTCTGCTGCACACTGCACTTATAGACACGGTCATTAACGTTAAAGCAACTCATCCAAACAGGACGCCAGTGAAGTGCCGAGGGGCAGGAATTCTGGGAGTGCAAAAAAACAGCGTCCGCTCTAACTAGAAGCAGCTGCCAACTGGAAAAGTTCTGCAAATGAAAATCATTATCAGCTGCAGGACAGGCCAGACTCGAGGCCAATGAACCAGCAGTCCTTTAAAAAGCACAAGAAATCACATGCGCACTTACGAGGCCTATTGTAAACTGTCGCCAACTTGTCTGCTCTGCCATTAGCCATCAGCCTCCTGTCTTTCTGACCTGACTCTGGCTTGAACTTAGGGCAGAAGCACCTACAATATATACCTACACATATATGTTCTTATCCTTTGTTGCATTTACATGTTCTGCTCATATTAATTACAGGAATGTCTGGACAATAAGCCGCACCTGACTAATAATTTAGAAAGACATTTTATTTTGTACTTTTATTCTTCCTGTGAAATCTACTGGTACTTTTTTCACTCTCATGGCTGCCTTGTCCCCTTGAACACCAGTGGGGGTCCTGGATCGGCTGGTCCTGGAGCTGGGGTCACCTCGATGTTATGCGGTTCAGTGTCTCTGATCTAGAACTGTATTCAACAACTATAATTGACTAGTTTGGTGATTTTTCTCTCAAACAATATTGCTAAGTTGTTTAAAGCACGAAAAAGCAAAAGTTCACCAAGACAAATGAAAATATAAACAAACAAACAAAGCTTAAGCGATGCCACCTCCAAAAGGGACAGTTTGTGTGCAATAATACCACAACATGGCAACGCATCTGGGAGTTATGTTCTTCATCATGCTCCACAAAACAAAAGAAGAGTCATTATGTTTTTAATGAACGGTTAGGTTGGCTGCTGTGTTGATGTTGAGTGTGTTTACGAAACCTATGGGATCTTGACTATGTGTACAAGAGAAGTCGCCTAAAGCACCTGAGGCATCTTATAACTTTCCCTTACTACTAAAACTTTTCTAATTGCAATTGTGAATATAATTGATATTATACATACATTATAAGCAAACAATTGGCGAATGTAATCACACAACATGTTTATTTTGAGCGTTTGATTTCCCCACACCCCCTCAGCTGCTGCAGCATAAATCATTCCATTATCCACAGCGCTCTTCAAAGCACCGTGATTCCTGTTAAGTTTTGCTTTTGCTTCATGTAACAAAACAAAAAAACATATGCAGAGAAGAACCGTGCATTGACCCCAAACAAAACGAGTGAGTCGCCTGAATCTGTCCAAAAACACACATTTATGATATGAGCTTAGCTTTTCCTTGTGCGCTAAAATGCATCGCTGCCCAACGTCCCATTTCGATCCGGTTTACGTGGATCCATGCAGCGTACACCAGCTCCTCGGAATGGACTGATTTTCCACCCCTCAATTGTCTCAAAGTTTAACCATCGATTCATTTTCGTCCGCTTTATCCGTTGCCAGGTCGCGGAGGCAGCAGCCTGAGCAGAGACGCCCAGACTTCCCTGTCCATTCCACACACACCTCCTCCAGCTCATCCGGGGTTTTCCCAGACCAGATGAGAGACATGGTCCTTCCAGCGTGTCCTGGGTCTTCCTTAATGATTCCCGAGCCACCTTAACTGGCTTTTCTCGACATGGAGAAGCAGCGGCTCTACTCCGAGCTCCTGGCATATGACTCACCCTATCTCTAAAGGAGGGCCCAGCCACTCTGCGGAAGAAACTCATTTCGACAAAAGTTTAAATGTGTCTTAATCAATTATATTAAATTGGAGGCGATTCAGATGAATTCTGTTTTTACTAGTGCTTTGTAAACACACTCATTGTCAGAAAGCCCACCTCTTACTTTGGCTTTCTAATATCAAAATATCACAGTATTATTGGTTATTGTGCAATCCGATGTCTGGAATTGCTTGGGTTTACTCCTATTTTAGACCTAATTTTCTGATTTTTGCTCCACATTTGTAGTGAATTGTCTTTGAATGCACCACAATCCGAGCACACACTCCCCAGCTCTATTGTTAATCGTCTCCTGAGCGTCTGCCATCCGCCCTCGTCTCTTTTAGCCTGAATGTGGTGTCGGCCTGACTGCATTTATTACTCATTACACAGGTCCAGTCAAGTTCCCTCCTCTTTTGCTTTTCCACCGTTTTCTTTCAGTTTCGTCTGCTCTCGTTGGTACTTTACTGCAGTAATTAGTCCTTAGCTGGAGACCTTTGATCAGCCAGAGCTCTCGTCTTTATGGAGCTACTGGAGCGAGTCTGTGAAGAGCGGCTGAAGAAAACATTCTGATTTACAACTTCCACTTGTAGTTCTGGGGCCTCTTTCATCTTGTCAATGGAATAGCAAGTGGAAAAACTAAAGATATGACAACTGTCCCATGTTAGATGCAGTCTGGTACTGAGTTCATCATTAATACCTGTATAACTGTATTAATACGCTGTGTAAGGTCGCCTATAAGCAGTTCTGTCCTAATGGAGATGGATAGATTTCAAGGATGTCATGCAAATGTCTGTTTTGAGTTTTTATTCATGTTAGAACAACCCTAATATCAGGAACTATTGGCACAAACATGTAACTCTGCTCCTTTATTCTAAGGAGCGGAGTTACATGTTTGTATTCTGTGTATTATTGTGTTGAACGGTGAGAGGGGGTTGGGAGAAAAAGCCTCTGCTTCATCCAACCCATTTAAAATCCTTTTTATTATTATGTTTGATGTAGAGATTTTATACTTTGATGCTAGAGTTAGAGATTATGTTTTATTTAATTAGTTTAGCTATCACTGTGGGACAAATAAAGGATCTCTTAATCTTAATCTTTTCAATCTCGTATTAGTGCAAAGATATGTGAAATTGTATTCTGCAGGTTTGAAATGAATTAACTAACTAAACACTAGTCGTGACAACATGACATGACTGAGGCCTTTTCTGCCTTTTAAATCAATATTTCCTAAAACAGCAGAATGCAATTTCCCTGTTCTATCACTAGATGGAGGGGTTTCACACATATACATGATATATACAGCCATATTATCTATGTCAGTGTCTCCCAAAGTGGGGTCCGCGGCCCCCTGGTGGGCCGCGAGGGTACTGCAGGGGGGCCGCGGGAGGTCATTAAAAATATATATATATATATATATATATATATAATTATTTAATATTAAATTTATAATGTTTTGTTTGTAATATTAAAATATTTGTGTTCATTATTTGACTTGAATAATCCACTGTAATCATTTTTGTATTACAATGTTTGTAGCAGAGGCTATTTCCCCAAAATAAAATAACCAGAAGAGCTTATTCTTAATGTTGTCTTCTTGGTTATTATTTTGGGGGGCCACGCAGACCCGTCAGATTTTTAAGGGGGCCTCGGTGTTACTGAGTTTGGGAATGGCTGATCTATGTCAAAGAATCCTAAATAGTTATTTGAATATTGACAGACACAACTGATAGTATATTCTCTGCCAAATCTTCACATTTAGTGAAAGGTCATTTGTTTAATGCGAGTTTGAGATCAAACAAGTTAACAGTATAATTATTAGTATTTTAATATTGACACGGACAAATATCAGTTATTGACGAGCACAGAAGGGAATTATTCGTTGAAATCAAATGAAATTAAATTATTATCATACAACTCAAAATCATAACAGGAGTCGTCACTGGAGGATTTTACAAAACCGTTCATTTTCCAATAGCAGATTAAAAAATAAGTAATTATTCAAAAATATTGGTATTGGCTAAAAATAAAGGATGGATGAGAAAACCAGATATTCTTTCCAGTATTATTTTAATGATTAAAGTCTTTCTCAGCTCTAAAAATGAAAGTAGAAGAGTGTGATTTTCACCTCATAGATGTGAGTGACTTGAGGCCCCACGTCCTCCTCTCTCACTGGCTTCTTCTTGGGCTCCCAGCGCGGGAACGGCAGCACCACTTGAGAGGGATGGGACACCCTGCAGAGAGGAGAGGCCTGCTTTAGACAGAAACAAGTCTGGAGCAATTTATTCAGAAATATTTGACTGAATGGAACATTGATCAGCAAAAAAATACAGATCTGACTAATGTTTTTGCCATTTTCACTCAAGTCAAAAGTTTTTCATGAGTGTCATATTGTGTTAGAAAATCTAGCGCGGATAATTCTCAGACTTGTGTAGAAACTATGTCCTGGGGAGACGCCTCAGCTCCATCTGTTACTGAGCTTTTCTCTATTTCTATCCAGTTAGGTGTGCACATTATTAAACCTCTCAGGAAGAAATGTGTTGCTGCAACTTTCCTTCCAGTGCTGGTTAATGGGGACTAAGGCTGGGCGATTATTCTAATAATCCAATCAACTGGAAAAAAAACTGTCACAAAGTTTCACATCTTCTTAGTCAGTACTAATCAATTATTTTCTCATAAATGTGTCTAGGAGTGGTGACAATATTCAAAAACATATGCATCATGACTTGGGAAAACATTTGTGGGACAGTATTTCTCTATACAAATGTTTCTTTCCTGTAGAGTTGTGATGAAATCCAACTGAAATAGACGTTCGATATTTTTATAATTGGATTCAATTCAAAGTTCCGTTTCGAGACTAAAAAATGAGCTGATGAAACATAATACCTTCAATTTTGTGTTCCACCTTAACATCTCTAAACCAAAGACTGCTTTCTTTTTCTATTAGAACAACTGCCACTCCATCAATGAAATTCTTCCACAACAAAACAAGTGTTCGTAATACAATAACAGTTATTGCAAATAAAGTTGCACAAATGCACATTTTATGGCTCCAAGGTTAGACTCAGACTCAACAAAAATGAACTGAACTAAAGTGTGGATCCTTATACTCAGCTTGTCCCAGGGCGTGTATGTGCGCAGCAGGGGTCTCCAACCTTTTTCACTTAGAGAGAAACTTTCTCCACACAAAAATTTGATTAGTGTCCGTTGATTATCATTTATTGCAATGTTAGTAAGCATTTAAAATACTTGTGGGTATTTCAATCATACGTTTTGGGATAAATGTAATTTCTAAATAATTTGGTAGCTCCCAAAGTTTAGATAGGACACCCCTGTAACACAGCTGGCTTTTGAAAAAGAGAAGAGAAGGCTTACACGAGAATATATTTTATTTTTTAGTCAGAAATGTTATACTTAATTCTTGCTTTTTCATTATGCTAAAGGTGGGGATTTTATACTTGCTTCTTTATTATGCTAAAGTTAGAGATTGGTTTGATTTTAGTACAGAGTTACTGTTCATTTATCTTGTGTCGTGTGCTCTTTCACTTTTGTATTTGGACACTGACATTTCCCCACTGTGGGACGAACAAAAGATCTATTAGTCTTAATCTTAGAATATTGTGTTGCCTGAGAAGGACTTTTTGAATTTGATTGTGATTAATCTTGCAGCCGTCGAGCTCCTGCCAGTGTAAAAGCATATAAATGTCTGCAAAAAACATAACTTTGTCTTGTTATTTGGATCTGCCTTCTCTCTCTCCTGTGTGTTTACGTGCTGGGCTGACCACACCCAGGGCCACATGAGTTGAGTGTTTGAAGTGTCTGTGAGCGTGGGCGGGTCATTAGACCTTTCTGCATCTGCGACCATGTCCTACTTTTGACAGCTATCCGCCGTGATTGGTTTATTCTGAAAAATGTGTTCTCCTGCTGTTCTCCGTCTGCATATAAACAACGTCCACCAATTCAAACAATATATACGCATTGATAATATCCTGTCAAACCTCAGAATGTTTAGACCCAAACCAGATCATATAGTTGGTTGGCAGTCACGTCAAACTCGAATCTGTCACTGTCCTTTGAACAAACAACACAGATGCAAATATGTCGGACTTACCCTCGTAGATCCAGCTGTGCTTTGGCAACAATTGAGAGCTCCAGACTCACACTGTTGCTGTCAGGGCTATCTTTGTTGGAGCTGTGGAAAAAAGAGAAATCAAAATGTATGTTAGAACAATTATATGTTTATTGATCTCAACTGACTTTTCTCGTCCGAAAGTATTTCAGCCGTTCCGGTCACAACACATCGCTAAAGCAACGGTTTCTTCCCTGACGTCACTGGAATCATAAGCACAATACCACCTGTCACTCACATCAAGAAGAGTCTTCGCACCCATGGCTCATAACATCTCCATGGCAACAAACGCACAAGTTGCATGAGACACCTTTAAATATTGATATTTGTCAAGTTGGAAGTTCATGTTTCAGAATGTGACATTTCTCAAGTAGGAAATATATGGACAAAGATGTATGAGTAGTGAAACACCTCCAACCTGTGGTAGAATATAAAAATTTACTTTATTGTTCTGCGTTTCATTCATCTTGAGCAGGAGTGACCACAGAGCCTGGGAACACATCTCCAGATCTGGTGCAAGGCCTGGTCATGACTTCATAGTGTTTCATTGTGTACGTTCGAGGGCTGGCCGATGAAACGATAATGACATATATCACAATAAACAGGTGATCAATATCAATAGAAAATGGCTTCTATAGAGTCTTCAATAATTTAACCTAAATCTGTTAGAAAAAAACTATAAGACGGCTGAGCATGAACCGCAAGGCATTCTGGGAATTGCAGCAAGAAAAAAACAACAACAACAACAACGGCTGGCAAACTTTGCAGGATCATCCTATCAAATCTGGGAACACAACAAATGTCTTTATTTAGAAATTAAGTTAAAAAAAACAAAAAAAACAATCAATCAATAATCACTTATATTGTGATATATCGGCCAGCCCAGTACGTTCTCACAGATCTGGGATGGACACTGAAAAATCCGGGATTATGAGGTGAACCGATGGAAACCTCCTCATTGCCTTTTTGGCTGAAACATGTCTCACTTCCCTCTGGCCATAAATCTCCTCTGTATTCGGGGCCTGTCTGGTAGCTCTAACCTCAGCGCCTTTTATCAGTACATTTATCTGCCCTCCCACTATAACTCCTTCAACTAAAGATAACCCTTTGGTGTACTCTGTCCTAATGATCTCCATCCCTGTCATTCAGTGAATCACGGCAGATAAAGTGAGAAATTCCCTGCCACTGGTCAAAGCTGAGTCTTTGTCTTGTGATTTTTATCCCGATCAATACGAGCGCGTTAAGACAATAGCGGTTTTGTTGAAGCATGTCTTGGCTGAACACTTCCTCGGGCCGTCCGTCTGGTTCTGTCTACGCGGTCGGCTTCATCTTGCCACAAATACTGACAGCAGTGGGAAACACGCTGAACATATTTACACGGACTTTACTCACAACTAGTTCTTTGTGAGCGAGTCCAAGCGGGGGATTTTATCAAGTATTACTGGATTTCAGATGATGAGATCACGTTTTAAGATAAATGCATTGTTGGATTGAAGTTGTGGTGAAGAATCGAGGGGGAAAGCTCTGAATTTATCGGTCAATCTACGTTTTCACTGTTATAACTTTGTGTGGAATGGTTAGAAACTTTACTGATTGTTTTTATATGTTGTTGTTTTGTCTTTTCTTTTATACAGTTTGTCATAAACTGATATTTTACATTTGAAACAAGCGCTAACTTGAATTTATTGATTGATTTGATAGGAACAAGTGTACACAATCAACACGTGAAACACTACAACATCTATAGCAAAGGCTAAATTGAAATGTCTGTCCCTAGAATGGCTTTTAACACAAATAAAAACACATTATACAAAGAAGGTGCCCTCCAACTCATTAATGCTCACACAACTGGTTTGTTTTAAAATATAGTTTCAGTTCGTTCACTAAACAAGAAGCTGGTCACCATCGTGATTGTTGAGGAATAATACACCTTAAACACTAGGATTTCCAGAATTCTGAAACTATTAGAACTCCCAGAGCGGTCCTTTTGACTGTTCCCATTCAAACAAATTATTATTTATTAAAAATAAGTCATTTACCAGGTAGAGTTGAAACAGGTGAATACCATTGAAATGCAACAAAGGCTAAATGCTAACAGCTAACTGTAAACAGCTGTTAACTCTGGGCACACTCAGCCACAGAACTCAACTTTTTGAGCCAAACTATCTCTGCAAATCTCATGCTTAAATACAATACATTGATGAGTCTTTTTAAACCAGGGAGGACCCTCAACAGACACCTAAATACATATGCTATATTGGAATTAGTTGTCATACTAATCAGAAGAACACAGGGAGGTACTTCAAAAACACTTTTCTGCTACTGATGCCGTGACAATGTCAGAAAGCACAAAACGAAACCATGTATAATGTATAATGTTTGTGAACGGACTGGCGCATCACCTGTGTATCTGGAGCTCGAAGCTGATGGTGGGGCCTGCGTCTTCCAACCTCTGAACGGAAAACCTCAAACCAACCGAAAGCTGCACACAAAGAGGAAGAAAGATGGAGGAAAGGGTTAAACTCAGAGGCCAGATCGTGCAGTGACTGTAAAAAGATGACAGGAGGCAGAGGAGATGCATCTGCTCTTCAAAGCCGCTCTTTAAAAGGTTCAGCATGAGTCAGTCAAGGCGTCACGTTAACTGCAGGTTCAGTTATGGTCTGAGGAGCGCGATTGCAAAGGGTCAAGCGAAATATCCAACCTGACAAAATCCAGACAGACACATGCGCTTAAAAGACACAGTTAAGTTTCTTGTCTTTCTCCAGTTTAAATCCTCCACTATAACCCAAAACACATGGGGTGTTTGTGCTTCTTCATCATCATTTCTTCAAAACAATGCCCTGATGTAGTGATGTGGCGCTAACTTTTGAGACATGCGACCCAGGGAGGATGTGACCAGTGTGCGAGTCCAAGTTCAAGCCCAAAGGGAGTGACAGCGAGCGGTGGAGAGGCAGACAAGGACATCTTCAGTGAGACACGTGTACGAAAGATCAAAAACAAATTATGTGAAGAGGAAGAAGACGTCACTGTGAAAGAGAGATATTGGACAGAGGAGTTCAAAAGACCAAACTGATCAGAGGAAGTCGGTGTAATTTATCATGGTTGAGTGAAGTTAAGTGAAAATATGTCTGCTTAAAATGTAAGCTGTGCAGATTGATAATAGTAATTATAATAAAAGAGGCAATGGCATGTATGGGTTTACACAGATTTGCTCCTTTGGCAGTGGTATTATTACGTGATTGTAAAAGAGAGGACATTCTGGTCATCTCTGCTCAGTCTGCTGCCTCTGCAAACAGACCCGAGTCACAGATGCTGTCTCCTATTAACATGGAGGAGCAGCGTCTCTACTCCAAGAACCTACTGTGTGATGGAGCTCCTCACAGGATCGCTAAAAACACCTCCCCAAAACCAATTCTTGTGAGATTTGACCGGTTTTTAGTTTTGGCTACATAGAGGCACAGCGGTTAGTGCCTCTGCTTCACAGCTAGAAAGTTAACCTGCAGGTTTTTTTATTGATCTTCCGTAATAGAAACTCAAGAGCTACTAGGACTTGCTGACATCGTGGTTAGCGCATGCACATGTAATGAGTGAACGGAGGGGTTCTGTCATCACCGTGTGTGGAGCACATGGAAATTACATCAAAGTGCTTTACCATGAGCACTTTGTGTGCAACCTTGGTCTGTTAAATACACTATATAAATAAAGATTACTACTTTCTTACTTGGGACTAGCCTAGTTTGATTTACTCAATGGCATTTTTGAACACATTATTTCTTATTTCGACAAAGAACTGTTGTTAGAAGAGTATTCAAACCAGGGAAATATTCTAGGTCACATGAGCAAATAGATACAGCAAGAAACTCGTAAAAAATGTAAATGTATTTAACTTAAAACATGAAACCAGTAAATGACATAGATGCATTACACACATTACAAGTGACATATGCCCAGCCTTTATTTCTCATCATTATAACAATGAAAGGCTTGATACATCTCTTTGCATGTAATGAGTATATACTGGTTTAACATTGTAAAATTGAATTACAGAAGTAGACAGACCTTTCACCTGTCCTGTAAATTCTTATCGCTCAAAATTCTGAATCTAGACAAACAGCCCGCATATAAGCCTGACTAGATATTGCATTTTTCTGCTTTCTAAGGAAGCCAGCGGTGTCAAAGGGCTTTGCGGTGAACCCCAGTGACGAGAATAATATAGCGGCTGGATGTGAAGCAGTCCGCATGAGGCCTGTGGAGGTATGTTCTGCATAAGCTCACGGATTCCTGAACATCCAGCGGCTAAAGCTGAGAGTTAAATATGGGAAACATCTGGAGGGCTGGTCCTCTCCCCTTTACCACCCATTCCCCCTTCTCCCCCAGCCGCTGAAACATGACCACATAATTGATTTATCAGAATGCCACCCCCTGCTCTAAAACACGGCTCTTTCTGGCCTTGGCACAAAACTGACAAATGCAACATACTCAAATGTGGAAACATATGTGGCATGTTTTGTTATGTAGTGTTTAGGAACTTAAAGAAGATACAATACATAGTAATAGTGTACAGTTGATGTGGAGTGTAAAGGCCTAAAGGCATGTGACCAAAATATTGACATGGACGTTGGTTTAACTTTTCCACACAACATTATTCAACAGCTACTTTTACTTAAACAGCTTATTAAAAGGAGCTCAAAGTATCTGGATTCCCTCCTCTGCCAGGATGGATAAAATTTCTTTGGCTTCTTCATTTGAATAGAGATGTCATTAGTTGTAGTGGTTCTTTTGGCACCCCCTCCACTGGTTTCTGTTAGCTCTTTTCTGTTTGTATTGCTAATATTGTTCACTGACACTCTGGATATGTTGCACTCATTTCCCTGTATTCCAACAGGATGTCACTCGTGCTGTTGCAACCTACTTCAAGGTGGTCTGGTAGTGCCCAGAGGTTCTTCTTCTGAATAATAATAATAATACATTTTATTTATAATGCACTTTACATTTGACACCAAATCTCAAAGTGCTACAAACAGCAGCATAAATAAAAGCAAACACATAAAATCAGATAAAAGACTATAAAAAAAATTAGCAGTACGCTTTAGTAAAAAGATGGGTTTTGAGTCCCTTTTTAAAAGCTTCCACCGTCTGTGGGGCCCTGAGGTGAATGACTTTATTCGAATCAGACGAGATAATTATCTTATCTGATGATGATCTGATGATTCCAGGCGATGGAAGCCCCCTCACGCTCTGTTTTTCTGACAATGTATTATGACATTAGTTGATATTGTTTATTTGGAGTTGTCCATGGCGCATGAGAGGATCTTATGACAATGTGGAACTGTACAACAAACACTTCCACATTGGAGTTTTTGATGTCATATACAGGGGTGCACATAACTTTTTCAGTGAGGTTCTCACATGAATACCAGGAGATGGTGTAATCAAGATTTTAGGCTTGCTTCTTTTTAATGCTAAAGTTTAGATCAGCTCAGATAATCCACTCAATCCAAGTCAAATAATGACTCACAGGGCTCTTTCTTAAAATTGCAAAAAACATAATGAGAATCAAAACAATGTTCTGTTTGATGCAAGGTAAAATATAGGTACCACAGCTTTAATTTAGAGACACAGGGAGGACATGGACACTCCCATAGTCCAGCTCTGTTTCTTGCAGTAACACAATCTGTAACTATTTATTTTGCGTTACGCAAAGACACACACTTGCAACAAGCAGAGAATGGTCCGCGCTGGGAACATTATGACCACGTTCGGCCGCGTTGTTAAGGTGCCGCTGTCATTACAAAGCTGCCGGAGTGGCTCTGGAGTCAGGACGCTGTTGCCACGGAGGATTTGGAATCCCGTTTGAGTACGTGCAGTAAACAGCAGCAAGTCCCCGTTGATCACTCTCTGGCATTGCACCACGCCACTCTGGGGAGGAGCGCCCCACTATGCTAACTCAAGTGATAAAACGCATTTCTGAAATTTGTCGCACATGCGTACCTGTGTACCACTTATGTGCACCCCTGGTCATAGACATATATGCAGAATCAGGAAAGTGATGTACCAACAACATTATCTCACATTGAAACCTCAATCATTCAATAACTGTAAATGACTAATTGTAGGAAAACATGGTACATGGTGTTGACAGTATACAGCACTCTCACCTGAGTACCAGCCACCATGGGGTTGCCCATGTCGCACACCACCATTCTGGACTCATTGATCATCTTGTACTCACAATTCAACTGTGACAGCGCCTGTAGGAGGAGAGAGCACAGAGCATGTCACTGAAAAGAACAAATGAATGAACTCTTGTGACAAATCGGCAGCAGCAGGAGATGAGAGAGAGAAGCCAAGTACAAGGGAGGAACCGCCATCAAAGGGGGAAGGGAGGAAGTGATGAATGTTCTGACAGTGCCAACCTCATCCATCAAGTGGCCCTATTACACACTCATTACAGCACACACACACACACAGACACACAGCGCACACACACACACACACAAACAAGCACACACACATTGACCCAATCCATTTGCTGGTCACTAATGTAGCTTGTAAGTCCTAATAGGAGCTTTTGAGCGGTTGCCAGTGCAGCATTTTCTGTTGATAGGTTGCCTTAATCACTCACAATGAACAACCTCAAAAGACAAAACAGGATGTTGGCCAGCAGTTACACTTTTCATTTATGGAATAGTTGTACATTTTTTTGAGCTTTTCTGGTAAATTGTTTTTTTGCAAACACATCACTTTTTAGGTTTATTTGATTATTTATAATGGAGGGTCACAAGCAGGAGGACATAAGTAAATCATGATTGAACAAAGTCTCAGGGTTGCATTTTGGACACTCTCGGGTTAACACGATCACTTGAGAATAAAATGGTCCTCTACAGCTGCATTTTAAACATGTAAAATACTAACTGATATCAAAGCCATGTTGACATACTGATTATTTTTTGTTGAGAATTCTCACTCTTATCTTGTCACAACAAATCTGTATCTCCCAACCCAATCCTGTTCTGCTACCCAGACAGTACACAAGCTGAACCACGAGCTGTTTTGTGACACGTGTTGAAATGGCGTGTCGAGCCGGGACCAAAGTACAAAACATACCAAATTTTAGCACATTACCAAACTCCCCTCCCTCTATGCTTCTCCCACTTCCTCCTCTGGTTTGGCTCTTCTAAACATAGGTGGAAGTGATGCATTTTGGCTAGCTCCGGTTCTCCCAGTCTTGCATAGTAGATGTGTAAAACTGCTAAATTAGCGCTATATTTTAAACACGGAAAAAGGCTAGGTTGTGAGGCGGGTTAAAAGATGAGACCAACCTCTGCCACTCAGTGCGCAAGAAGAGGCGACCTGGGGTTTTGAGCATGTTTTTTCTCAGTGGGAATGAGCCTATCCAAACATTTACACAATTCTCATTTTGTATTTAAACCGTGGCTTTACAATGATCATCTAAACCAACTTATTTTGCAAATACTTTCAAATCAATTTAGTTTTTTTCACGTTTTGTCAGCCTCTACCTTGAACCGCGGCCTGGTTGGAAATTCCTGCTCTACCGACACGTGTAGAAACAAAACCCAGAAAGTTATGTCATAGTACATTTTTTACAACATTGCCCACCTCTTTGGTCAAACATTCTGCAGTTCACTTTCTGCTTTGAATCCTGAGCAGGCAAAGGCGTCAGTCATGCGATGAAATTACAGCTAAACCCAAAATATAATTCCTGGATAAGCCTGTAAATCCATTTCCACTATATATCCTTTTGGGCTTTACATCTCCTTTGTGTAATTGCTTTCAGACACATGTGTTTGAGAGAGTACGGACCTCAACGCGACGCTCCACTCCGATGTAGTCCGCCTCCGAGGGCAGAAGGACGTGCAGCTCTGTCTCATAGGCTCCTTCCCCCTGGTTAGCAGCGTTTACGATCAGCGTGAGAAGGTTGTCATCTCCAATTACCAACTCTGAGTGGTCCCTGCGCACAAACATACACAACCGTGAAGATAACAGATAAAAGAGATCCTTTATTCGTCCCAGACGGGAAATCACCAGTTACAGAGCAGTCTAGGAATGAGGAGCACACAACACAAGATATTTAAATAATACTTTAGCATAATAAAGCTTTAGAGTAATAAAGAAGCAACTCTTTATTACTCTCAACGTTATAAGCAAGAAGCAAGAATTAAAGTGATGTAACTCTGAAACTCTAAATGAATTACAAATTTTAGGAAATGTGTTAAATTGACCTCCTGGCCTTAAATGTTGATATAAAATAAGTCATTTTATTAATTCTAATATTACAGTCCCGCCTTCCCTTCTCTTAGCTATAGCTCAGAATCCACGATGCCGTCCACGTTAACCAACCAAGTGATGCCAAGGGCTGTCAATCATCGGCGCTGATGCTCGCAGCTGCTCATGCTCAGTTGTTTGTTTTCACGGAGCCTCCGAATCAAGCCTCTATTAGGCTCTGGAACTACATGAAAACTGAACAAAGAATTCTGAACATCCGCGCTGAGTTACCCATTTATATACTGAACCTATATCCATAATCATTTATATACTGAACCTATATCCATAATCATTTATATACTGAACCTATATCCATAATCATTTATATACTGAACCTATATCCATAATCATTTATATATTGAACCTATATCCATAATCAGATCCTCTGCAGATGTGTCCTATAATGTGCAATTCATGATAATAGTACTTCCTGGTTTGCCGCAATCGCTTTTTTTGTGCATAAAAACATTATCTTTTTCATTAAAACGTTAACAAATAATTCTGAATACCTCCGTGCATGTGTATTAATAATGTATATGTATAATGTGTTCTCTGATTAACATTTAAAAGTGTTACGGAAACGTAGGTGTAGACCAATCAGAAAGGAAGGGGGAGGGAGCTTGCGTAATTTTTTTCAAATCAAGTACCTCTCTCTCTTTCTGACAAACTCCAGACAATCACTTTAAGTATAGAAACAATGAGAGTAAAAAAGGATGAGAGAGAAATTCACTAAAGCTGAACTATTTAACCGTGTATGCGCCAAAGTAGCAGAATTGCTCCTAAATCCAGGACACTTTCTATACAGCAACTAGGCAAACATGTCCCAACATTTTTCTTACATAATTATCTTTGATGTATTTCTGTTATAGGTTAAAGTTATTGATTAAAGTAGTCCACTATCTCTGTGTATTGTTTATTTCACAATACATTTCTCCAAAAAAATGCTGGTGCCTAAAGGGTTAAGTCTTAGAAAAGGAAAAAAGTTGTGAACGAATCAGACCACATCAAGCTGTCTTTATCTAACGTTCTTCTGCACATGAGTAAGATACAACCAAGTCACTATTTGACTCTTTGAGCTGAGAGCTGATTGGCAGAGTAAGAGTGGGTCTCTAAAGATCTAAAGGTCTGACATACAGTGCGAAAACTATTCGGCCCCTTTGAACCTTTCAACATTTCGCCACATTTCAGGCTTCAAACATAAAGATATAAAATTTAAATTTTTTGTCATGAATCAACAACAAGTGGGACACAATCGTGAAGTGGAACGAAATTTATTGGATAATATAAACTTTTCTAACAAATAAAAAACTGAAAAGTGGGGCGTGCAATATGTGTGTGTAATCAAGTCTCCGTATAAATGCACCTGCTCTTTGATAGTCTCAGGGTTCTGTTTAAAGCGCAGAGAGAACCATGAAGACAAAGGAACACACCAGGCAGGTCCGAGATACTGTTGTGGAGAAGTTTAAAGCCGGATTTGGATACAAAAAGATTTCCCAAGCTTTTATTGCAAGCAATTATATTGAAATGGAAGGAGTATCAGACCACTGCAAATCTACCAAGAGTCAGACAGGGAGAGTCTGTCCATAGGACAACAATCAGTCGTGCACTGCACAAATCTGGCCTTTATGGAAGAAAGCCATTTCTCAAAGATATCCATAAAAGTCTCGTTTAAAGTTTGCCAAAAGCCACCTGGGAGACACACCAAACATGTGGAAGAAGGTGCTCTCGTCAGATGAAACAAAAATTGAACTTTTTGCCCACAATGCAACACAGCTCATCACCCTGAACACACCATCCCCACTGTCAAACATGGTGGTGGCAGCATCATGCTTTGGGCCTGCTTTTCTTCAGCAGGGACAGGGAAGATGGCTAAAATTGATGGGAAGATGGATGGAGCCAAATACAGGACCATTCTGGAAGAAAACCTGTTGGAGTCTGCAAAAGACCTGAGACTGGGACGGAGATTTATCTTCCAACAGGACAATGATCCAAAACATAAAGCCAACTCTACAATGGAATGGTTCACAAATAGACGTATCCAGGTGTTAGAATGGCCAAGTCAAAGTCCAGACCTGAATCCAATCGAAAATCTGTGGAAAGAGCTGAAGACTGCTGTTCACAAACGCTCTCCATCCAACCTCACTGAGCTCGAGCTGTTTTGCAAGGAAGAATGGGAAAGAATTCCAGTCTCTCGATGTGCAAAACTGATAGAGACAAACCCCAAGCGACTTGCAGCTGTAATTGCAGCAAAAGGTGGCGCTACAAAGTATAAGCGTAAAGGGGCCGAATAACATTGCACGCCCCACTTTTCAGTTTTTTATTTGTTAAAAAAGTTTAAATTATCCAATAAATTTCGTTCCACTTCACGATTGTGTCCCACTTGTTGTTGATTCTTGACAAAAAAATTAATTTTTATATCTTTATGTTTGAAGCCTGAAATGCTTGAATACTTTCGCAAGGCACTATAGGTCTAAAATGCATGCATGTAAAAACTAGTGATAAAAACTGATTAATGAACGAGGGCCTAGTAAGATTGATCTAATTGCATTATAGTTAACATTTTGTTATTTGAAAGTTAGGTACCCCAGCAGCTGATTAATCACAGCTAATGTATTATTGAAACAGTGATCTTAAATCTCATTTAGAAACTTAATAATAATGTTTTGAACCCAAACCTTGAGCTTTGTCTTGCTCAAAGATTTTTATCTATTTTGAAATAGTTCTGGACATTCCTACAGTCTTAATGTGATTTATTAGCGGTCCACCGATATCTTTTAATCCAGGGCTGACACTGAAAATCCGCAGTCAAGGAGGCGATAACCGATATATAGGCATGCTATTCTTTTGCCATAAATATTAAAGAAATGATTGGTGTTATGAAAATTAATGTTGACCAAAATAAACCAAAGAAAAAACTGAAACAAATCAGACACCACTTTCTTTATACAGTTATTCTAGTGTGTTTGTGCAGGAGTTTAGTTGAGTTGTATCATTGTATTTCCGACCAGTGGGCTGGACTATGGGCATTTAACCCCAAAAAACTATCAATAACGCTATAGATTGTGTCCCGACTCAATAAATTGTCCTCTTTCACAGCACTTTAAAAGTACCCTCAAACCCTGGAGTCATAAGTAGAACATTCAGCACAACACTTGCCATTATAGCACGTCTGTAAGAAGTGACATCGCCCTGACCCCGGCCTTCCAAGCCTCCTCCTCGCGGCTTGTGTTTGGAGACGAATGCCATCGAATTCGGGGTGACGGGATGTTTATATAAAGTCGCAATGGCGTTACCTTACAGCTGGAAACAATACAGAAAAAGGTGGACTCGCACACAGAGATCCGTGGCCGTATGGTGGATGGTGTGACGCATGGCAGACGACGTTTCTGGTTGTGTTTTGGGTTGTGATGAGTGTTTACAGGCTGAGGTCAGAAGGACCGCTTGTGGGTCAGGGCTTACATGGCAGCGGAGATCTGGAGCTCCGGGATACAGATGTTGTCATCCCCGCAGTCCAGGAGAATGTAGGCCTGAGAGGAGCAAAGGGCGAGAGCGTGAGGAAAGATTTACTTCCAGAACAAAAAACATGCATATTGTGGAATGACATGTTTATGAATTGCCCTACAGGGATAAATAAAGTGCACCTTTTCCTTACCTTTATTTCAGGTGCATTGATTAGTGATATTTTGATACATGTTCTCAAAGGGCCTTCTTCTCAGGGTATAAGTGCACAATTGATCACTAATTTTGGTGACTCGTGTATAACAAGTTGACTGTTAAAAGAGACTAAAGGGCTTGCAGGCCATGCTGAAAGTCTATAGATGGTCGGAGGGGGCTTTTGTCAGTCTTCCCCAGGGCAGCTGTGCCTACTGTAGTGCTCTCTGAAACTGATGCATTTTCTTAATTATTATCTTCAAATGTATTGTGTAAAATAGTTCCTCCCATTGGAATGTTTGCCACTATTAAGATTTGCAGAATCTGATTGCTGAACCAATGGGGAGAGGGTTTGCCAGTGAATACATTGATGTATTTTTTCACACTCAGAAAGCAGGGGACTTTTGAAGGCCTTTTCGATAACACTGCAATTGCATCTCGTAGTTTATTTTCAAAATGATTTGGCAACACATGCATAGTACAAAAACCCCCATGAATGCACATTTCTCTCCAAAAGAAACAAGCTTGTGTCCAGATGTGGTTCACATACATGCTCTTGCAGGAAGGTGCTGCTGTAGTGGTTGAGGACTGGGGGCAGTGCTTCACTTTGGGCTGAAGGAGCCAAACTGTAGTTCAAAGCCAGCGCTATGGGGGTCAGCTTGTCCCTGAAATCATCCTCTTCCTGTAACAAATAAACACAAACAACAATTTAAAATAAAATAAGTCTGATTCCAACAATCACTGAGGTACTGTTCGTCTTGGAATGGTTCCAACTGTCCATGAAAATACCCCATGTAATTTTCACACATTTATCAATAAAAACATTAAGCTTTAAAAACAATTCTTTAGAACCCCGATCTAAAGTTGTAACCTATTTTTTGAATTACAGACAGATGTGCAGGGAAAGGTGGTAGTTGAAACAGCCATTTTCTGAGCACTGAAGCATCCAATCCAAGGCAATACTGGTTTACTCAATTATGCAAAGGATGGATGGAAATTAAACTTTGGGTAAAACATGGTATTTCAAGAAAACTGCTAGAGCTGCAATAGTTCATCTTTTGAAGAACATCTTTCTCTGCAACACAAAAACTGTGGTGGTTTTTAACAAATTGAGCCTGATAAAAATGTCACAAACCTGATTGTCACAAACAGCGGCTTCACCCAAACACTAAACATAAGTAGAAAAATATCTCTTATCATATTTGTTCTGTGAAAGATGGTGAAAATTCAGCCAGGGTATGTAAACTCATACTAATATTCTAGAGCGTCTCAGCCCCTCAGACCTCAACCTTCTTGCAAATCAAACTAAAAGTAAATAGCCGTCTTTTTCCAGTTATGCTCCTTGCAACAACAAAAAAATGCTCTCTCTTATTCTGCTCGGACACTGATCTCATTAAAGACTCACTTTCTTTTCTCTAAGTCTTTCAGATGTGTCTCTATTTGTTAAATATCGTGTCGTGATTTTGTTTTGGTGCACTGTCTTTGGTGCACATTGAGTTCCAGTGTGTGGAGTTTGCATGTTCTCCCCCTGTCTGCTCCGGTGTCCTCCAGGTGCTCCAGATTCCTCTACAACTAAAAACATGTACAGTAGTTCAGGGTCTGTGTGTGTTTGTGACTGTGGGACAATTTGACCAAGGCGACAATGGATCTTGACACATACTGTTCCATCCAAACAAACAAAATACTGTACATCAATAAATGTATGAATTGTGCTTTATAAATAAATATTCCTCTCTTATAGATTCCAGTGTCTCTGAACGTGACTCACTCTGAGGTAGATGGAGTAGGAGATGCAGGCGTGAGGTTTGCGTTGGCCCAGGGCTAAGATGCCCGTGCGATGTGGCTGCTGTGTGTCTGTGAAGAGGACGCGCTTGACTCCGCCTCTATTGCCTTTCAGCCAATCCAGGTGGAGTTCCGCCCTCAGCGCTGAACAACATGAACAAGACAAACAGTTTGAAAAAGTGCATTAGTGTATGAAGCAAGACATTGTTTAAAAGCTAGATACCCCAGCTTTAAGCAGTGAAAACAGTTGTATGTCGGTTAAACAAAGTTATATCTCTCTTGTTGTTCTCTGGGGGGTTTGGCAGAGTTTGGCAGAGTTTGGCAAAGTTTTGCAGAACTATAGAGCAGCTTACCCACTGAGTCGGGGATGCCCACTCCACTCACCGCCGCGCACACGTCCACCTTCAGACTGAGGAAAAACACAAGACGGGAGAGGATTCATGTCGTTTCTTACCATAAACATGACGTTACAAAGTAAATACTGAACGCCCAGAGACATCTTTAGACTTGGTACTTGTACCAGTAACCGGTCAAATATTATCGGTTTGCCCAAGTTGGACTTCAAGGAACTTATGTTTATTCACATGCACTTTGAAAATGGTCCTGTTTGTGCTGTACAATATAAGTGGATTGGATTGAAATGAGAAAAGAGGTAAAGGAAATTGGATAAAAATTGCCTTTTTAAGTCACAAACACATTAAATCAATTTAAATTTTGTACAGCCCAAAATCTCAACAACAATATGTCACAGAATGGTCGACGCATCACCGGGAAATTGGAACGTAAAACGATTAGAACTAATAAGAAATGCAACAATAAAACACATGAGGGTCATTGGTCCATAGGATATTGACTTAACCAATATCGATAAATGTTCATAAATGTTTCAGATCATCCCCTATCCATCCTCCATTGATAAGGAAAAACTCAGCAAAAGATACATAAACATTGACAAGACCCAAAGAGTGACAGAGATCCACTCCCATGGACCCACAGACTTTATAGATCTGTTCAAGTCTGCAGCTACACAACTGTAAACTTTAATAATTACTTTAATAATGTCAGAATGTGCAATATAGAACCACATTTGTTACTGTTGTTCTACTTAGTCACTTTGTCCCAGACCCTCATGCTGCTAACATGTACAGATGTATACACACAGCATACATACAACTACAGTATATAGTACTGGCATTGGAATATACAGTACTTTATACTTGCTCTTATTAAGCCAAAGAGATTTTATAATTGTTTCTTCTTCATGCTAAACTTTCATTTCATTTTATTCAGTATAGAGTTATTGTTCATTTATCTTGTGCCGTGTGCTCATTCCTACTCTTCCCCACTGTGAGACGATCTCTTAAAGGCAACGAACGAAGACAGAAACACTACTTATTTGGACTTGTAAATTAGTTTGTATTTTTCTGGAATGATTAAGTGTTTGCAAGGCATGGTTCATTTCTTGAGCCCAGGCCGGAGCGTCTCTTGGGGCCTGGCTGTACACACAGACACGGGAGACTGAGAAACCTTTCTGCATTTCCTCCACTTAAGCGCCTATTACAAACACTTTATCACAACTGAAATCACACTGCAGAGTTCCTCCCACACATTCGACCCGGAGCACTTAATATCGACTAATTTAGGGAAGCCTGCTGCAGAAACCAGTGCTCCGTAGAAAAACGAAATGACCTCATGTGATTTTTAGTTCGCTTGGTCCGATTCCCCAAAGTGCAAAGGCAGATGTTGTTGTAGAATCGCTGTTTGTTAACAATTAGGAGCATTATTCGATGACACAATAATCGTAAGGTAGTTATGGCAAAGTGTGCGATGCAGATGTGCGTTTAACGGTCTCTGTGTGAGATAAAATCTTTGGAAATATTCCCTGAAGTCATTTTGACCCCTACAGGTGGTTCCCTGTGTCTTTAATAATGTTTAGTGCGGTGTGCAGTGGTGTGAAGGCCTGTAATAACTGTATATGTCAAACTTAACAGTATCCAGGGCGCAAATAACTAGTTTCCTGACAACAGCCCTGGTACATGATTGGAGATTATTCTATGTAATTTACCCCCATAATGCATCTATCTTTCACGCCCATCACACAACCGTCTACACCGCTCTGCAAACCAAACATGCAAGAAAAATTCTCCCATGTTTGGTGCAATGGCAGTCTGCTCACCACTTCATCTAAAACTACTGACATTTGGGACAAAGGAAGGATGAAGGATCTCTAAATATCATATCTATATCATATAGTATCTGCTTGAAAAAATAAAAACTGAATCAGCATATGAAAGCATATATCCCTTGCAAGGAAAGGTACTGTGATGGGAGACCTCTGGGAACACCAGGTGCCACAGTGGGCGGCTGTAAAGTGCCAAACTGTCGTTGTGTGCTTAGGCAAGACACTTCACCCGCATTGCCTAGAACGAGTCTTATGTGTGTGTGAATGGTTGGTGGTGGTTGGAGACGCCGATGGCACATACTGATTGCCTCGCTTCTGTCAGTGTGCCCCAGGGCAGCTGTAGTTTATCACCACCATATGGAGTGAAAGAATAAGGACATGTGAAGTGCCAAAAAAGCACTATATTAAAAGACCGTTACAATAGTCATTAGGATGATGATTCTGTTACAATATTATCAACCAATGTGATCGTATCAATTTTAAAAGTATGAAACTTAGGTCATCAGAATGTAACAGGACTTTGGAAAACAGGCTCCGTCACAAGACCCTACCATTATCAAGGGACAATTTAACATATTTAAGACTATGAGATTGACCATACAGGCGAACGATTGTCTGGCCCCAGGAACTCTGTATTAATGATCACATGAATCTTTGATGAATCTTTTCTACAGAGACTCTGTGTTGTCCTTCGCAATGGTGGCTTTTCACTGCAACTTGGCTTTGAAAGACAAGAGATTTTTGCCAGCCGATGGCCTGTGTTTATCTATAAAGTGCATTTTTCAGACCAAGGTCACCCAAACAGCTTTACAATGTTCAAAGTTCAGATATTTTTCCATTCTTTCTACACTGTGATGACAGAAGCGAGAGGCCGAACACACTGGCATCAAAGCCTCCAACCAACACCATCCATTCACACATGCCGCCCAGTTGTTTTTTTTTTTTTTTTTGATGCAAACAAAGGCATGGCGCCGTGGCAAGAGCTCTGGTGTGTGTCGTCTGGTGCACACTGGGGTAGTCTTGCACAGTTTTTCCAATGTGGTTTTACTGCAAATGGCAAATAAATGAATCTGATCTGAATCTGATCTGATCAACAGAAAGTCTAGTAAAAGTTCAATGTTGTGAAGAAAAATCAGACCACAACATGCTGTCTTCATCTTATCAACAAACATGTTATCTTTAAGAAAAGAGAGCCCTGTGAGTCGCTATTGTAAGAGCTGATTGGCTGAGTGAGGGTGGTCTTTAAAAGTATCTAAGAGCAAAATGCAAATGTACATGCATGTGAAAACTAGATAGAACCTTCTTTTTTTTTAGAGCAAGGATCTACTTAAACAAATGTTATGAGACAGTTGAAAATTTTTAAGATTTGAAAGTTTAAAGCTTTAAACACATACAAATAAATCTCTACAGATTTGAGAGACACATTCCAAAAACTCACAGAACACGCCGGACTAAGTGGTGTCAAGAAAATGTCCCAACCTTTCAAAAGTGTGTAAAACCACCAGTCTTACCGCTGCATACGTGCTGTAATATCTCATTTCATATCCCGCCCTCAAGTATACGGTTTATTTGAACAACTGAAATGTGGTTTACACAATTTAGCAACGTCTGTCAATCCGAACCAATTGTAATAAGTGAAAAACCACTGCCTTCGCTCTCAACTACATATGCAGAAGTCGTGATGGCAACTCGCCGTGTACTTTCTCTTCTCCAAGCAGCCCTGAAGACATGCAGATCCAAGTAACTATGATCTGTGGTGGAGCAGCAGGGGACCGTAGCCCTTTCCCCCCTCGCTAGCCTCCCACTGGAGCAATAATATAATCAAAATAGCATTATGCAGTTTCAAATTAATATCAAATCTCGGGGAATCTGGATTAGCAGGATATACGAGCCCAGAGTTATTGGAAGGTATCGTCTCTGAAGGTAAAATACGGGTCACAAGTCTCAGGGAGTGGGTAATTTACTATGTGTATTCTGAACAGGCTTTACTGTATATAGGCCTTTTTTTTTGCATATTATTTTATGACAGTGAATAAAATGGATGGGTTTCCTCGCATGAACCTCTGCAGTGATGTTGTTATTCCGATGTTCTGCCAAGCACTTTGTTTGACACCAGCTGACAGTGTAGGGAATAATATAGTGTTTTATTACAGGATAAAGTAAAACAGGGCGAATCACTGTGGTAAAGAAGGACAAGCATATTCATAGTGAAAACCTGGAGTTGTATTGAAGTACTTTTCATTTTATAGCACACCTTAATTCATTTAAAACATGTTTGGAAATTATCTGGATTGCTGTATCTGACAGTATGTACCAGTTTCTGCCAATATCCAGCAACTTTACACTGCTACTAAAGGACTGGAGCAAGTCTTCTGACTCTAAACCTTTTCATAATAATGCAAATCTGACATCTGTTTAGGGACTGTTTGTAATTTTCTCATATGTCTCCATGAACAAAATCTTAAAGTGGAGTAATTCTTACAATGAACATGTCCACCATGTTTAGTTGATTTAGTAGATTTACAGATGAACCTTTCCAGATGACAGATTATCACATTTTGTTAGGCATTTTTACACATGTTTTACTGCAAATGGCCAATAAACTGAATCTGTCTCAATCAGAGAGCAGAATGAGGGTCATTTTGGTTGCCAGGTTGCCAGGTTGTGAGATTTAGTTTGTCTTGGCTCTAGTATTTTTTATATATATACACATTTTATCAAACAAACAAAAAATAACCGCAAAAACACTGCAAATATTTAAAGGAAATCAGGTACAACTAAGTAGTCGTACATAATATACAGAGTTTGCACCGTTACTAGCCAAGCCTCTGCATGTAGATTACACCAATAATCAGGAAGATTCTGGCGACAAAAGTTGGAATAATGTTGTTGTGTTGTGACCACTAAGAATGCATAGTACCTACAGCCCGTTTAATATACATACTCATCTACACTTCTGATGTGGGATGGATTATCTCAGCAAAGGAGAAGAGTTCACCAACATTGATTTAGGCGTATTTGCGAACAAGATGTGTATAAAAAGAAAAGTTTAATCTTTAGGTTGAGTTGATTGAAAATAGGATCAAACACAAGTGTTGTGTGTTCAGTGCATTTGAACAAAGACAGACTCTCACCATGTGACCATCACGTCTGTGCGAGGCAGGCGGCACTGTCTGTCTTCAGGGTTCAGGATTCTCGGCGTCAGGAGCATCTGAGCCTCCACTGAGATCACAGCTTGAGCCCTTTGGACACATATCTCACATTAGACTAAACAATTTCAGATTCATTATGAGATTAAGCAAAAAATGTCTGGTAAAACGTTCTCTCACCTGTACACGGACACTTCACCTGCACCGAACGCCCCGACAATGAGATCTGGAAGGAGATAAAAGAGGAGGAAATGACAAAAAGTTCACTATGGGGCTTCAAAGACATAGCAGCAGATGGGACTGATTTCAAGGCAATTCTCATCAAACACAGACTTCTTAATATAACGTTCACAGAAACCGTAATCTCATTGGTCTTTTTGAGTCCAAACTCTCTTCACACAAAAAGAATGTGGCTCTACTATACCAGACAAAAGAAGGTAGATTCCTTAGTAATAACATCGCTAACCCACTATGGTCTAGTATAGAAGAATCTTCCTAAACCAAAAATAATCTTTTTACATAACTTGCTTTGATGCTTCAAACCGAATCTGTGATAGTCTTTCACACCATTGAGGGCATTTCATGGGAATGTGGCAAAATGGAAAAACCAACAATTTGCAACTGTTAATGTAAAGACACAAGTTGTAGCATGACTTAAATTTAAATACCAGAAACACAAGCTTATTCAATAAAAAAGTTGTTTAAATACTACAATACTACAATACTATATTTAACGTTACTAAAACAGGCTTTTTTAATACCAGGGGTGAGGTGATCTAGTAAACAGTGCAAATAAAAAACAAGACTAAGCACTTGACAGTAAATTATTCATTCACTCCACCCACTGTTGTGATAAGCCTTTACTGGTAGCCACAGCTGCCTCGGGGCGCATTGACGGAAACAAGACTGAAGTATCGCAGGTAATTGGGAAACCTTTTCTGACATTCCAAACAATGTACAAACTGTGTGTTGAGCTGTTATCGAAATAGGCATAAAAAGGACATTTGTTACTATAGTTAATATAAATTATGCCTCGTCTCCGGTTTGCATCCTATTGTACCATATGTAAGTAAGTAAGTAAGTAAGTAAGTATTTATTTATATACCGCCTTTTCACTGCAGATCTGAGTCTCAAAGCGGTTTACAATTGTTAATTTTTTGGGCATTTGTCTCTCACTCCACACAGATGGGAGCGGGGAGAGTACAGGAGGCGCATGCTAGAACTATTGGACATATTTTTAGTGGTAGGGGAAACCGGAGTACCCGGAGGAAACCTACGCAGACACGGGGAGAACATGCAAACTCCACTCAGAAAGGCCCTGGTCCGACCGGGATTCGAACCCAGGACCTTCTTGCTGAGAGGCGAGAGTGCTATCCACTCAGCCACCGTGCCGCCCTGGACTAAATTCCTCGGAACGCCGGATGGATGGGAACGCCACATCACATTCCATTGCCGTTAGTGCGTTTCTCAATACTCACATCGTTTCCCAACAACTCCTAATTGTAAGCAGCCACTTGTTTTGACTAAATGTGACTTTTTAATTTGTTTTCAAGGCTTTTTGTGATGAAGGCGCTCTTTTAACTGGCACTGCGATATTTTAAATAGAGCTGGAGCACTTAATAGCTGTGGTTGGGGGGACACATACCAGTTACATGTGTCTGTGTGTGCGTGTGCGTGTGTGTCTGTGTGTGTGTCTGTGTGTGTCAGACAGAGACACAAACACACAAGAACTGATTAAAACAATGTGAAACTGCAGAGAGCTGTTTAATCAATTCAAGACATCAGTGCCAGATGCTCCCACACTGACTTGTATGGACTGTCTGTAGATTGTGTTCATGAGGCATCTTTAAACCATATTACACTTTTCGACTTTCTATACATTAAACATCATTACAGTATTATTTGGCCTTCTTACAAGTCGCTTTAGTGAGAGAGCAACCTTTCTCTTTGATTCTCGAGAGGCAGTATTGTCACACATGTGCTCAGGATGGACTGTGTAAAGTGAAGAAGCGCAAAATACGGGACCTTTAATAAAATAATATGAAGCAATATCTGTGTTAGTTTCAAAAGTTCTCACATTGTCTCAGAACGTACAAACACGTCTTCACATCCTCAAAGTGAGTGGTGTCGAGCTGCAAAAGCTGGGCCCAGCTTTAGAGCGGGGTCAGAGTGGACTCGGGTCGCAGACTGACAGGGTTTACCACGACTACCACACAGACTCGAAGAAAAGTCACATGACCTCATGCAAACTGCACAATACTCAGAAGAAAATAAATGATGTATAAAACGTTTAGAGCCGGGCCCACGCGAGCCAGGCCCTTGTGAATACTGATCCCTTGTCTTGAGAACATGTACTTTAACCTTTAATATTTTAGAATGTTAAATAATTTGTTCAGTCAAAATTATATGGATAAACATTAACAATGGATGCAGACCTGGACTAGTGAAACACCCCCATCTGGTGGTAGCAGTGCGAGATTCAAATAATAATAATAATAATAAGAATAATAATACATTGGTTTTATATAGCGCTTTTCAAAAACTCAAAGACGCTTCACAATTCAGGACACACGCACACACACACGTTTAGACAGACACACAAAACTAAAAATCAAAAGCAGGAAAGAAGAGTCCAAAGCTGAAACTAAGAGTCATATTCTTGGAGGAAGAGGTGAGTTTTTAGCTGTTTTTTGAAGGAATTCTGAGATTCAGTTTCTGAGATGAGGGGGGAGAGAGTTGCAGAGAGTGGGAGCAGAGATGGCGAAAGCTCAGCCCCCCAAGGTTCGGTGCTTGGATGTGACAGTGAGAGTGAGGAGATGTGAGTCTGCAGATCGGAGTCGACGGGAGGGACTGTAGGGCTGTAGAAGTTCAGTGAGGTATGGAGGAGCGAGGTTATGAAGGGCTTTGTAGGTGATGAGGAGGATCTTGAAATGGATGCGGTGTTTGATGGAGAGCCAGTGGAGTTTATGAAGGACAGGGGTGATGTGTTCTCTGGAGAGGGTCTGCGTGATGAGGCGGGCGGCAGAGTTTTGGACATATTGCAGTTTTTGGAGATCAGATGAAGGAAGGCCGTATAAAAGACTGTTGCAGAAGTCTGGTCTGGAGGATATGAAAGCATGGATCAGGGTTTCAGCGGCGGTGGAGGACAGATATGGGCGAAGACGGGCAATGTTTATACGATGAAAGAAGGCAGTCTTGGTGATGTTGCGGATGTGGGGCTTGAAAGAAAGGGTGGGGTCAAAGATGATTCCGAGGTTTCTGATCTGAGCAGACGGTGAGATGGTGTGGCTGTGAAATATAAGTATAGCATGACACGATATAATTGGTATAATTGTAAATATCAGGATTTTACAGGGAAAATTCCTGAGACTGATGTAGATTAGTGTGCATTTTTCGTATTTCTTCCACAAGATTAACCCAACCTGTAAAGAATTATAAGATTCAATAGGATTTTCAGATGGTCATTTCATCAGGTAAATGTCACTCTTCTCCCATTGAAATTGATGCATAAAATCATATATTGCCATAAAAGAAATCTGATTTAGCTTGAGTTTAGCTCGATGTAAGCAGCTGTTTACGATAGCATGCGTTGATTACTATTTAAAACACTGTGGTCACATGCAGACTTGTTTGAGACGCTGTAACCTGCCAGACTAATCTATTTGAATTCTCCCAGTGTCTGTTCCTCTCCGGTGTATTTAAACAGAAAGAGACTAATTGAAACTGAGACTGGGACATCTGTTTCTGCCTTGGCCCGAGCGTCGCCGAGTCCCCCTCAAACCACAACATTAAACATTTAGCTGTATGTCGCGGTGCTGTGAAGTGGATGTGGGGAGTCTATAGGAAAGAGTCAGGCTGGAGGAGGCCTCAAGATGTGGCTTTGTGGTGCTGTTAAAGAGGTAAGAAAGATGGAAAAACAGATTGTAGGTAAATAAGGGGAAGGGTGAATGGAAATAAATGCCAGGGAGGAATATGTCATCTAAATTTTTCAGATAAGATATGGTTTGCTATTTCTCTTTTGAGATAAGGAGTGCTTAAAGGATACATAACATGCAAACTGGACCTTTGGATTCTTCCATATCTTAGTAATCTAAATTACAAAAGGCAAGATGTCATTGCTGATCACCGCCACCACAATAGGTCTATTGTTTTTAAACTTTATTTGACGATTGAAATTTCTGAATCTCCAATATCAAGATCCTAACTTAATTTGTGGTCTGGGCAGAACCTGCAATTTCTTTGAAGAGACCATGTTTGACTGACGTTGCGTTGTGTAAAGGGGCAAAACCATAGACCGTAGAAGAAAACAACACATCGACTGCTGATGTCACCCATATTGTTTTCCTATTGCGGAAAAGGCGGAAAAGTAAATTTAACCAAGCTATCTCAAATAGGCTGCGCGAGCTGGAAACTGGAGTCAAACTGTTGCTTTCCTAACAACGACCTAACAACCAAAGGGAATGCCGATGAAGTTATAACTTGAGAACATAGCTTTTGAGCTTAATGCACTGTCCCTGCACACTAAGCGCTAAATTTTGGGAATAGAAGCCACTGGATTGGTCATTGTTTGCGAACATAACTGGATTAACAAAGACAGAACAGGAACAAAAATGGTGAGTGCAACAAAAACTTTTTTCAGGTGATTGAGCCAAAACGAGTTGGAGCAAAACTTTGCCTATGAGCACTTCACTATCAGGCTTCATGGAGCTAGTAGGGTAGCATTGTCAAAACAGTCTTTGGACAAAACGCAAAATAAATAATATATGAGCCTTGGGTGTCTTACATTCATTTCTCACAAAAAGGTCTGTTCCATGTTTAGGCTCGTAACCCTGAACCTCCATGACCGGTGGGCGGCCCTTCAGGAAAAGTGGGGCAACATGCCTCTGAAGACAGTAAATCAAATTGTGAACAGCATGAAATGTGATTGTCAAGCTGTAAATGATGCTCAAGGCCACATGACAAGTTATTGAGTTTAATGTTTTGTTGTTATTGTATACCCATCATAGTTGTTGGCTTTTCTTTCAATACTGTTTAATGCAGGGATATCAGCATTGCATGTTTAAATGTTTCATAGATTTCACCCGAAAGTAAACTATCCCTAACTTTTTGTGCATAGTGTATCAGGCAGACAGTCTTCTTTAACCAGTTTCTAGAAGAGAAAAATACAGAGACCATATTTCAACATCATAAAACAAGATGATGTTAAGATTGTAGAGTATTTATTAC